TACATCACTATATTAGACTGAGAAAGTCACTTTTTATTTGCTATATGGTACAGTGTTTGATATGTGTTGGGTTTTGCAGTTCACAATTTCCCCATTAGACATATATGTTGCATTTCAGTCACCCAATAAACTCTACTATTAACATATTTCCAAAAGATAACAGGAAAGATAATCTATCAGGAAGAAACTTCCAGAAGCAATCATTTTGTGGAATTTTATAGTCCGTGTTTCACCATAACACACAACATTCACTGAGTGCCCTTTAGTTAAGTGTGGTGGGGTACACTGAACAATTATATCCTAGGGTATTGAAGAGCAAATACTGTAATCAAGTTGTGCAGTAAAGTCACACTTTAACTACCATAAATACTACCAGGTAGCATAAACGTCTGTTAAAGCACTGAGATATGGACTCAGATGTAGTTAACAGACGGCACAATGTGCATTAAAGCCTTTTAAAAAAGGCTAACTGTCTAGTGTGTGTCTGTAGCAGCTTTCAGGAAACAGGCTGCTTCAGCCCAAACTCTGCTGACTTGCGGACTCTCTGCAGGAGCCTAAAGCCTCTAGCAGATTTCAGAAAGACATCTGCTTCAGTGTGAGCTGCAGTCACATATTGGGCAAGACATCTGAAGTCGTCACAGTTTGGGGAGATGTGTGTTTCTTCAGACAGAAGCAGATTCTTGAAATCTTTATTTTTATTTTTTATCACATCAAATTTTCCAATATTTTAAACCTTACCCATCATCTATATAAAAAAATAAATACTCGTTCAAATTTGTCAGCTCTCTTGGACAGGTCAGTGTCTCTGAACTACACAGAACTGGGACTATCTACTCTTGTGAATTAGCTAGGGTGCAGGCATATATTTCCCAAAAGCTGCTTCAGGGAAAAATATTTTCATTCAAAGTCAAAGCTAATCAGCCTCAGCTGAAATAATGAGAGATGTTAACACATTGCCACTTGTTTTCGTGAGCATATTGATATATGAACAGCTAAAATAGCTAAGTCGTTTCAAACTCTGCCATTTTAAAGATACAGTAGAACCTCAGAGTTATGAACACCTCGGGAATGGAGGCTGTTTGTAACTCTGAAATGTTCGCAAAAAGAAAAGGAGTACTTGTGGCACCTTAGAGACTAACAAATGTATTTGAGCATAAGCTTTTGTGAGCTACAGCTCACTTCATCGGATGCTGTAGCTCACGAAAGCTAATGCTCAAATACATTTGTTAGTCTCTAAGGTGCCACAAGTACTCCTTTTCTTTTTGCGAATACAGACTAACATGGCTGCTACTCTGAAATCTGAAATGTTCATAACTCTGAACAGAACGTTATGGTTGTTCTTTCAAAAGTTTACAACTGAACATTGACTTAATACAGCTTTGAAACTTTACTATACAGAAGAAAATGCTGCTTTTAACCATTTTAATTTAAATGAAACAAGCACAGAAACAGTTTCCTTACCTTGTCAAATCTTTTTTTAAACTTTCCCTTTATTTTTCTAGTAGTTTACATTTATCACAGTTCTGTAACATATCTGGTTTTGTTTGTTTGTTTGTTTGTTGTCTCTGCCGCTGCCTGATTGTGTACTTCTGGTTCCAAATGAGATGTGTGTTTGGTCAGTTCGTAACTCTGAGGTTCTACTGTATGCTAGATACACTTGGTACAGAACTACCATCAGTCAGTTTATCCCACTTTTTAAAAACCAGTTCAAATTTTAAAACCTTGAGTTTGATAAAATTGCAATGTGGGGGAGAGGTAATATTTGACATATACATTTAAAAATCTTTTTAAATAGGAAAGTTTTCAAAATAAATGCTCCCTTTTGCATGCTTGCCTCTGAAAATTTGCATATTATTGATCCTTTTTTGGGTTATAGCCTTTCATAAATAAATGTTAGAATTATGAAACCAGGCAGTTTTAAATCAGATGGTATAGATGCCATATTTTATGTGTATTGTATAGTCATACTTGCAGAATAGTGTGTGCTTTTTAAAAAAACTAACAAACAAATAATGGTGAGATATTTGGAACTGGCATAATATGCCAAATGGAAAATATTGTTTTTTCTGTCTCCATTTGTGGAAACAATCAACCCCTCACAACCCTCCATTAATTTATTCTTACAGACATGTCTGGTTAGACACATGGAAAACATAGGATGGGCTTTTATATTCTGTGGAAAGCTTTCTGGTGGTCAAAGATCAGATTTTAAATCCTGAAACTCCTTGGAGTAAAATCCTTGGATAAAAGTCAGTCAGAATCAATGAAGTTTTTCTTAGGTAGATAAATTGAACACCTTACAGTTTCCTCTGGGTTTCACCTGACCCATGGATCATGAATTGTCATTCTTCAGAAGTGCAGATACAGACAACACCATTTATTTCCTTCTGCTGGTCCGCTATCTTTGTGCATTTTTCTGCACTGCCTCTTTGACATGGAATAACTTCCTATTTCTTATGCTCAAATAAATTGGTTAGTCTCTAAGGTGCCACAAGTACTTTTCTTTTTGCGAATACAGACTAACACGGCTGCTACTCTGATTCCTATTTCTGATTCTCCAAGCAAACCATCCTTTCCTTTATTCCTCCAAAAGTCTTATTTTTAAACCCTGCCTACAGGAAGCAAATGCAAAATAATATTTAAGAAAAAGAAAAACATTGCACGTTAGCTTTGGCTTCCAATGTTTCCCGTCTCCTCTATGTCAGCCTTCTACAATTTAAATTCCATGAGGCAGGGACTGTTTTTATACTTGTCTTATGCAGCTCCAAACACTCTGTAGGCATGTAACTAATACTAATAATGTTGTTTATTTCCATGGCTTAATAATCTTCTTTTTGGATTTCTCTTACAGTATTTAGTAGTGTGCTGCAAAGGCAGTAAAATCAGCTGCTATTTCATCCCTTTTGAACACTGCTACTATTATTTTTAATAAAACATTCTCCATAAGATGTGGGAAAATAGATTAGAAGATAACATTGATTCTCAGACTATAACTTTAGTAATGGGCTATTCCCAAACATACAAAGATAGAAAAGGAAAACTGAATCAGGCAAAAGAGGAATTACTATAAGAACCAACAGTGAAGTAACTATAAGAATAGCAAACTAAAATTACTTTTTTCAGAGTATCAGCCGTGTTAGTCTGTATCCGTAAAAAGAAAAGGAGGACTTGTGGCACCTTAGAGACTAACAAATTTATTAGAGCATAAGCTTTCGTGAGCTACAGCTACAGGTACAGCTCACAAAAACTTATGGTCTAATAAATTTGTTAGTCTCTAAGGTACCACAAGTACTCCTTAAGATTACTTTGTAATGTAAACAATCATCATGTCCCAAACTCAAACTAAAATAATAAATTCATACCATTCCCTGACTTGAAAACTGGAGATTCTGTTTCTTCCGCCTGGCCCTCTATTTACTTGGCTTGGTCACCTGAGCTTTTATGAAAAAATCTTAACTCTTCAGTCCACTCATTGGACAAGACTGGCTTCCACACCAACCCAGATCTCCATGAAAACTACTTTAACAGGTTTCCCTTTCCTCTGAGGAAAAGCTTCTAGAATCTTTATCCTGGGTGTTTTCTTTGGCAATTGGCATGCAGCTAGCATAATACTCTCTGATGCATAGCCTTTAAACTTCACAAATATATCCAAAACAGGTATTGGCTGTTATAAATGCAGTATTTCACAGTATTTTTTAATATCCTGTACAATGTACATCTGTGGGTTTCTATGTGATAAAATTACATTACAATATTTTGCTAATGAAATAAGCCTTAAAAAAAGGCTTCCTCCCAAAACTTTTAAACCAATTATAGAATTTGTAGTATTCAATTGGCAGTATTCTAGTGGTACCATTATGTTTGCGATGAAATACTAAAACTGAAGAAAACGTACATAGTAGCTTGTACATATGTAATTTATTTTGGTATTGTTCTGGGTAATAATGGTAAGATTTACTAAATTTAAATTGTGTGCATGAAAAATGATTTTTTTTTTTTTTTTTACATTTTAAAAGAATTAATGTCCAGTCATTAGTGACGTCAGAGATAAAAGCCCACCATCTGGACACACAATAATTTGCTGATGCAAAGTTACCGATATGTGTAAGGACTGGAAAGATTGGGACCACGTTTGTTATCTGATAACTACCTTGAGGTCTGAGAATGCCGCATGCATGCGATCTGCAGACTTGGGTTTGAAGATTATTAAATATTCTTTATGTTCATATATTTGTACATGTACGTGCCTAATATCTGTACATGAACATGGCTTCTAAAGTCTCTATGTAGAGATTATTTTGCAGAGAGACCAATATTTATTTGAAATATTTTTGAATCTATAATAGTGCTTTAGGGACCCAATCTTGCATGGGGTATTGTGTGTGTGGGCTGTTTCGTCCACAGAAAGCCCTAGAGACTTCATGGGGGTTCCATACAGTTATGGCAGTCTGCTCATGAACTACACAATATAGGACTGAGGTCTAAGGCAAATCTAATTTTCACAAAAAGAAATCGCATGAGTGCATGGAACGGTAGCCACTAAGCACATGATGAATTACATTTATATCCACTCAGGAATGTTTGAAATGCTTTTGGTCTTAAAATATAGTTAGAAAAATCAAACAGTTTTGAGATCTTTCTTCACTTTTGTGTCTGTCATGCTTGTTTGTCTTACTGTATAACCAGAAATGGCTTACCTATTGCATTTTTCCTATGAAGTGCTGAAATATAAGCGTTAACGGTACTGCTGAACTGGATGTTTAAAAGTATAGTTTTGTATAACAAGCACAACTTTAAGAAATGTAGTTAGTATGCTTCCTGGAAATAATATACTGTCATAAATAAAAAAATACGCAAGTTAGCATTTGCTCAAAATGTTTATGATGGAAGTATGATTAAAGTTAATCTGCAATAATATTATGGGACACTGGAAAATAGACAATAATTTTCTTATTATATTTGGTAAAAATAGTAACAATATACATATTTCTATTTTACAGTTACCTGCCATGGTTTGAGGTATACTACAAGTTGTTAAATACTCTGGCAGATTATTTGGCTAAAGAACAGGTACTTTTAGATACTTGTTTACATCTAATAAACTATTTTACTTGAAATTAATCGTAATAATTTTAAATCCTACAAAGCTGTTTCATACTGTCTGCATGTTTGAACAATGTATTTAAAATTTGCAACAAAATAAAAAATGTATGCATTTTAATTTTGTAAGTTGTCAGAAGTTTGACATATCCCAATGGAATTAAAAAAAAATTGGATATGCTGCTGCCACTATTATGTGGATGTCATGTATTAATTTTTAAAAGCTGCTGAGAACATACTACAGCAAAGTGTCAGAGTCCTTCTGTAAACAAATCCTGGGCTAAGTGTGAGCAGAGTGTCAAGCCACTGGAGAACTCTATGATATGTTGATTGTTAACCAGATAAACCCCAAATCTCAGGAACTATCAGATACAAACACTTTTTCTGAACTGCATTAGATTTGATGTACTACTTTGCCCTTCATATTAACTAAAAACTACTTCGTCATACTGTCATCTTGACTAGAAGGGGGAAACTGCTTGCAGCACTCAGTGAAGAATCATGATAGTTTAGTTTGCATATTCATGAGCAATTAGATACATTCACAGGATTACTCAGGAAAGAAAATACTGGCATCTGTCTTTATTAAAAGTATTAAAGATAAACTTTCCTGCTTCAAGTATCTAGGTATACTAGATGGTCATTTTCAAAAGAGAAAAAAGTTAGCCATATGCTGTTGGCTGCAGATGTTGAGATTGAAAGAATATACATGCAATAATTATATCTATTGGAAACAGACTAAAGAAAACAATAAAATTTTATGTATAAAGAAAATATAATAGCCCAGTTGCATTAACTTAAGTAAAACGGATTGTAATGGTCACTGAACTCCCGTTGTTAGCATATTAAATCATATTAAATTTTGTTTTGTCTTAATCTTACTATTTAATTGTAATAGTCGGGGCTTTTTATTGAGGTTATGCTTGAAAGACGAGGCTCATGCAGGGCAAGGACCGTCTTTACCTTTGGGTCTTTCTCATTGCTTGTTGGCACTAAACAAATAAATAGTAGTTCAATGTATAGCTGACAAAGCTGCAACTTTATTATAGTATATGTTAAAGAACTCTACGTTTTAGTGGGCCAGAAGTTCTTTCTGGCACTGTACAAAGTGAAAGTATTCGATTTGGTGTACTGCCTTGTCCCCTGTCTCTTGGACTAATAAATCTATCAGAGAGCTCCTTCTTGTCTCCCTGACCAGTCAAAGATCTAAACCTAAGGCCTTATTTGCTAATACCTGAGTAATTCCACCCATCTTTGCATAGAGAGATGGCAGCCCTCTTCAGACAAATTGGTTCAGTTTATATGAAAGTTGAATGTACAGTTCTGCTGACATGCTGAACCTTTCTCCACATTTAGCTTGATCTCATTAGCCAAACTGTTTTATAATATTTCAAACTGTTGTGCTTGCCTGTTCCATTTAGGACCGAGTTTATGAATATAAAAATCATGATCTAGGTTCCATTATCACTCCTAAGTACAATTCTGTTTGGAAACCAGGTTGTGACACCTTAAACAGACCCAGTAACAAAAAACACATTTGAGTTGTGTTTCCACAGCAACTTTATTTACTGTACTACCGTATGACATCTGTATGCATTCACATGTACCGCTCTGCCTAATGATGTTTGCGTTAATGCATTTTGGGAAATTCAGAGGTGCTACCCCATCGTCTAAGTAGGGGTTAGAGTGCCTGTAGGACATATACATGGAGCGCCACAAGCAATCCAAAGGGAAATGCATCCTGGGAGACCCTATTATATGTAGAGCTGGGAGGAAAGAAGACCCAGGCAACTCAGTAACACAGATATGATTAGGGAGAATTGTCTTTGAAGCAACATAAGTATAGTGACCCGTTCAGGTCACAGAAAGACAACCATGTGGCAGCCTAGGCACATTAACTGCCATGGTGATTAAACTTGTGCTAACCATGTTGTGTACAGATCCAAGCCATATGTAGAGTCCACCATATCTTTGCTTGATTATAAATTCAGTTAAATGTTGTATAGAGAGGTCCAAAGGCTAATACAATTTTAGAAAGGTGTTGTCAGGCCAGATAAACTGTGTTAATACCATTTTTAGCTTGAAAAACCCCGTTTTTGAAGGGGTTCAAGTAACATGGTTAAATTACATCTGTATATCAGGAAGTGTAGAGAAAGAAAATAAATGTTAAAAAAACTGACTTCAGAACTTGCAAGTGATGATCATTCTTTGAGCCATAAAAATAGATTGTGCTTGTACTTTAATATATGGCAGTTGCACTATGAGATTATCTGTGATGAAATGAAAATATATTTGTTAAAGTGGAATATGTATTCTTTGTATATGATTATTAAGTACTTCTTTTTAAATATTTCCTGTAGGAAAATGACTTGAATGATATGTTAAAATCACTGTATAGCCACCCTGTGCCAAAGGCAAACACTCCTGTCAGTTTAAACGTGGTAGGTATCCTGTGTAATGTCTCTCTATTGTAAAAATGTACTCAGTTTCTTGTGGTATTGGTGCTAAATTATTATCATCTCATCATATTGCCTCCTATTGTTAAATGGCTTACCATACTGTATTCACTTACTATGTAAAATGTGTGTGTGTGTGTCTATGCAGACTCCAGTCCTAACCTAGCAGAAATTGAGGTTTGCTGCATGGGTAAGAGGGCAAGCTACCATAGCAACTGGCAATGCTACTCCCTATCTTGTTCATTGCCAGCTGTCTCAGATGAGTATCTTTAGTTCCTCCTGCTGTGGATCAAGATCCGCTCCATGGCCTCTGAACACCTGAGTAGGGAAGGGTATGTCATATGTCAGTCTGAGCTTGGCTTTTCTACTGCCTGCCTGCAGTTGCACCTTTTCCCATTTGTGCTTGATCATGCCAGGGTGGAGTGCGGAAAAGGGTAGGGAGGGTTTTACTGAACTGTGTAAAGATTTCTGCAGGTCCAGACCAATGAACTTGCACACATGTAAGCTGATGTGGGAATGTGTCCTAAAATTGTAGAGGATTATGGCTCCCACAGGAGCAGCAAACTGTTGTACTCATCACTTACTGCTATCATACTGGATTTGCTTTTCAAAGAGTACAACTCCCTTAGATAGGGTGACCAGATATCCTGATTTTATAGGGACAGTCACGATATTTGGGGCTTTGTCTTATATAGGCGCCTATTACACCCCACCCCATCCGATTTTTGACACTTGCACCTTTCATAATTAATATTTTTTCTGGGTGAAATGGTATTTTTGAATGGCATGCTAAAATATATACTGGCTGGGTAGAAAAATAAAGCAGCATGCCAAATGTGGGCAAGTTAATGTTAATATGAGAACCAAAATTTTTGCAGTTCTTGACCTTTTTTGTCTTTTGAATTTTTAATATTAATGAAGCATTAGGTTGTAAGTTTTTTGCATATAATATATAGTATTTCCGATTTGTGTTTAGAATTGTTTGGGGTAATATTTTCAATTGACTCAAAATGTGAACTGTCCTTAAAATGATTGGAATCTGGTTGCTGACTGCATCTGGGTTAACAGTATTGGGGTCTTCCTTTTTTTAAATGTAAACTTCTTCATTGTTGAGAAGTTTAACCTAAAATTACATTTTTATTACAGCCTGGATAAAACAGTGTTTTGTGATTCTTCTGTTGGCCTAATGTACAATTCTTGGAGCATCTTCTAGCTCACATCATCAGTGATGCTGGTACACATGTAAGGAAGTGACTAAAATCTCAGTTGTTTTTTGCTGCTTTGCAAATAAGTGTTTCCCAAATGAAATATCATAAATAGCAATACAAAAAGAATCAAGTTTCTTAGATTCATAGAGTTTAAGAACTGATGGGACCATTGGACCATCTAGTTGGACCTGTATATGACAGGCCATTACATTTCACCCAGTTATCCCTGTGTTGAACCTGTTAACTTGTGTCTGACTAAAGTATAACTTGTGTTTGGCTAGAGCGTATCTTTCATAGATTCAAAGGCCAGAAGGAATCATTGTGATGATCTAGTCTCTCCTCCTGTATAACACAGGCCATAGAACTTCCCCAAAATAATTCCTAGACCACATATTTTAGAAAAACATCCAATCTTGATTTAAAAATTATCAGTGATGGACAGTCTACCATGACTCTTGGTATGTTGTTCCAGTGGTTAATTACTCTCACAGTTAAAAATTTTCACCTTACTTCCAGTCTGAATTTGTTTAGCTTTGGCTTCCAGCAATTGGGTTGTGTTATATCTTTCTCTGCTAGATTGTATATCCCATTATTAAATATTTGTTCCTTATGTAAATACTTGTAGACTGTAATAAAATCACCACATAACCTTCTCTTTGTTAAGCTAACTAGATTGAGCTCCTTGAGTCTACCCCATAAGGCATGTTTTCTAATCCTTTAATCATTCTTAAAAAGAAAAGGAGTACTTGTGGCACCTTAGAGACTAACAAATTTATTTGAGCATAAGCTTTTGTGAGCTACAGCTCACTTAATCATTCTTGTGGCTCTTCTCTGAACCCTGTCCAATTTATCTACATCCTTCTTAAATTGTGGACACCAGAACTGGACACAGTGTTCCAGCAATAGTCACACCAGTGCCAAATACGGAGGTAAAATAACCTCTCTACTCCTACATGAGTTTCCCCTGTTTGTGCATCCAATGATTATATTACCCCTTTTGGCCACACTGGCAGCTCATGTTCAGCTGATTATTGACCATGCCCCCAATCTTTTTCAAAGTCATTGCTTCCCAGGGTAGAGTCCCCTGTCTTGTAAGTGTGGCCTACATTCTTAGGTCCTAGATGTATACATTTACATTTAGTGATATTAAAATGCATATTGTTTGCTTGCTTGCTGACAAAGTGATCCAGATTGCTCGATGGTATTGACCTATCCTCTTCTTTATTTACCACTCCCCCAAATTTTGTGTCATCTGCAAACTTTATCAGTGACGATTTTATGCATTCTTCCAGATTATTAATAAAAACATTAAAGAGCATAGGGTCAAGAACTGATCCTGTGGGTCCTAGAAACACCTCCATTTGATAATGATTTAGTCTTTTCAGTTACATTTGTGACCTATCAGTAGCCAGCTCTTAATCCATTTCATGTGTGCCATGTTAATTTTATATCTGTATAATTTTTTCATCAAAATGTCATGTGATACCAAGTCAAGCGCCTTACAGAAGTCTAAATATATTACATCAACCAAACTTGTAATATCATCCAAAAAAAATCAAGTTACTTTGACACTATCTTTTTTCCCATATAACCGTGTTGATTTGCATTAATTCCAGTACCAATTCATTCTGTATTAATTGAGACCCATATTGGCTGATCCATTATTTTGCCCAGGATTGATGTCATCCTGTTTACCCTTTTTAAAAATTGGCACAACATTAGCTTTCTTCTAGTCTTCTGGACCTTTCCCAGTGTTCCAAGATTTATTGAAAATAAACTAACGGTCCAGTGAGCTCCTGAGCCAGCTCTTTTAAAACTCTTGGATGGAAGGTATTTGGACCTGCTGATTTAGAAATGTCTAACTTTAGTGGCTGCTGTTTAACATTCTTCTGAGGTATTAGTGGAGTGGAAAGAGAGTTGTTGTATGATATGACTGCATAATCTGTTTTTTCCCAAGTACCAAAATAGAAATATGTATTGAATACTTAAGCCTTTTCTGTATTATTATTGATATTTCAACTATTTCCATCTACTAATGAACTGGTTCTGTTATTAGGATTCTTTTTCTTCCTGTTGTACTTAAAAAAGTTGTCCTTTACTCTATTGACCATAGATTTCACCTTGTTCCCTTTGCTTCCCTTATCAGTTTTCTACAGTTCCTATTTTATGATTTATATTCATCTTCTAAAAGGACATCCAGTCTTGATTTAGAGTCACTGAGAGATAGAGAATCTACCACTTAGTACTTGTGCCAATGGTTAATCAACCTTACTGTTGAAAATTTGTGCCAAATTTCTAATTTGAATTTGTCTGGCTTGAGCTTCCAGCTGTTGGTTCTTTTATATCTTTCTCTGATAGATTGAAGTCATTTAGTACCTAGTATTTCTGCCCATACTGTAATCAAGTTACCTCTCACTCTTCTTCCCGCCCCCGCCCCCCCCAACTAAACAGATTGAGCTCTTTGTCTTTCATTTTATCGAGCCCTCAAATAATTTTTGTGGCTCTCAAATGTTTCAACATCGTCAAAATATTTCAAATTATTTTAAAGAGAACAACCAAGTGGAATATATTTTAGAAAAGAAAACCAATATATCATTTAATACTACACCTTGGCACTTTTTGCAAGAGTATTGTAGTATTGTATTGCAAAAGTATTGCAATTTACATTCTTCCTATTTAATATTTCTACTTTAGTCACAATTGGATATAGCAAGCTTCTTCATTGCCTCTCTTACCTCTTGAGAATTGCTACTGTTCTCCTTTACAGTTGTTGCATTTCATCTTAGAGAGATTGCCGGTGTTAAAATATGTTCCATGATACTTTAAAGGGGTGGGGCTTTGTCTGGCCAGCAGCAAGAAAGGGATCATGGCTTCTCCTATGGGTTCCCCTCTCCTTTGGGTTAAGAGGATGGAGGGAAGAGGTGGGATTAGCTAAACTGTGGGCTGACTGGAAGGGAAGCTGTTCCTTTGGCCATCATCCCCTGCGTGTCTGGGGGAAGGAGAGAGTACAGTGCTAAACAATTTTTGCTTTGGAATCCATTTAGATGAAAGGTACTTATATAAATGCAGACCCAATGCCAAGTGTTGGGCTGCAAATAAAGACAGGAAGTGGTGTGGAACCAAATTTTAGGACCTGTAACAAATAAACATATGGACTAAATCAGTCAAACTGTGTGAGAAGTTCTTGCTGAACTTGATCTAGAGCCATGTGCCCTAGTAACTGGCACTGTTGCAGGACTCCAGAAACTGTTTTAGTCTGCAGCCTGGATTAAATTTTTATGTCTGTTTGTTATGTCCCTTTCTCCCATATTGTAAGTGGCAAGGTCTTAAACTGTGGATGCTAATAGATTTAAAGTTAAGTTATAGTCTGAAAAATGACTATAAAAATGGCACTATGGAATTCCCTGTTGACTGTCCTTGAGTGGGTCTAGATCAAATTTCTTGGTGCAGAAGTAAAAAGATGCTGACAGTTGGAAAAAACTCCACAAACTCATCCTGGGATGTGGAAGCCAAGCTGTGGTCTTTCCGTCTCGCACATCAGCACTAATTAAAAAAAAAAAAGATTCTTCAGATGGCACTTACCATATCAAAGCATTCTGTTGATATGTGAGCCATACTGGAATCCAGGTCACACACTCTCAGACTCTGTTTACAACGCCCTTCAGCCGTACTGCTGAGGTGTCAGCTGCAGAGCTCACTAAAACACGGCATGCAAACTGCTCCACATGGATGCTACTGGTGCAAACTAAAAAGTACCTAGTTTGTGTTAACATCCTGTTTTGGAAGCACTACATTACTGTGAAGTAAACATCTTTTAGTTTGCACCGGCAGCATCTACACAAGGCAGCTAGCACGTCACGCTTCGTGAGCTCTGCAGTTCACACTGTTTGTCACTGTGGTGCCGTGTAGACAAGCCCTTTGATGTTTTGGCCCTGTGTAGCTAACAGGAATAAAAAGTAATAATGGTTCACTTTTGTCAGAAATGTTAGCCAGTTGTGGTCTGAATATACACGGGTAACAAATCTGATGAGTGAGTTACCCGTCTGACTATTACCACACTTCAAGTCTGTCCATTCCCCTGATTACATGTACATTGGAGTGTGTGAGTCATAAATCTGCACCTCTAGATAGAGCTTTATTGGGGGGGGTGGTAGAAAGTTATGGACTCTTACTGATACCTATACTTCAACTGCACTGAGATGCTTTTATATCACAGTGTGACTGCTTTGATGCTAAGGAGGTGAAATCAGAACTGTCCAACCAAGGAAATTTGTTTCAATATATGGAACCCAGGCATGGGTGATGTCATCATTAATTGTTAAAAAACTAAAGTCTAACTCCTAGGTAGATATAGCACACAACATAATGAGATTTTCTACTCCATCAACCAACAAAAATACAAAAAACCCCAATCTTTAACTTTGCTTAATCACCCTGCAGATACATTTTATGCCCTGCCATTTTATTCATGGCTATTATGCATTCTCTGTTGATCTGTTATATTATTCTAGCTAATTATATTCAACAAATGAGTCTTGCATTGTTATGTAGAAGGTCAGAACCTGAAATTCTACTGATTAAGTCATTCAGCATTTTCATTCTTCTAAAAAGATTATCGCATATGAAATCTTTGCCCCAGTTCCATTTATAGTTAAAATGTTATGCATCAGATGTAATTTTTTGGTTTAAAAAACAAAATGTTCGATTTTTCTCTCATATTGCATAAGAATCAAGAGATGTTTTTTGCAAGTGAGCAAGTTCTGAAAAATCAGCCGTACCTAGTATCGGTGAGTTTAAAAGAACTGGCTACCTAAATCCTACCGATGAAAGAAATAATTACTTGCCAGATGATGTCTCTGTTGATTTCAGGATGTTCATATATGGTCTTTTGGAAAATGATTATTCTGTGGTTTTCTAGTCTTAAAAACCCAATCTTTATTAATATATTTCTGTTTATACTAACCTTATTTTAAAACTGCAGTATGTGTTTTACAAAAGCAAAACACAATTTAAAATGGAATAAATATCCTACATTTAATCTCACTGCCACTTTTTAAATAGTAGAAGCATGACAGTGGCCAGTACTGGTTAATTTCATACCTATTACAAGATCTTGTGTGTCTCCCTAAGAGACCTCATAATACGTTGCAGTACTTGGAGTATAAATTATTTCCACTGGAAATACAGTAAAACCTCAGAGTTACCAACACCTCAGGAATGGAGGTTGTTCATAACTCTGAACAAAACGGTATGGTGGTTCTTTCAAAGGTTTACAACTGAACATTGGCTCAATACAGCTTTGAAACTTTACTATGCTGAAGAAAAAATGCTGTTTTTAACCATCTTAATTTAAATGAAACAAGCACAGAAACCGTTTACTTACCTTGTCAAATCTATTTTTTTAAACTTTCCCTTTATTTTTTTTAGTAGTGTACATTTAACACTATACTGTACGGTATTTGCCTTTTTTTTTTTTTTTTTGTCTCTGCTGCCTGATTTTGTACTCCCGGTTCCAAATGAGGTGTGTGGTTGACTGGTCAGTACATAACTCTGGTGTCCATAACTCTGAGGTTCTACTGTAGCAAATCATGGCTCTGGTGTCTGGCAGTAGTGGGTGATGGCTTCCCATAGCACATCTCTGCTGTTCTGATCATTGAACTGATTATTTCTCTGTTAAAATTATGAACAGTTAGAAAATCATTGATTGTTTCACTTCTAAGTTACTACTGAATAATATTCTGTGGCCTTAAATACTGTGTGTGCGTGTGGCAGTGAGGGAGGAGAAAAGAATTCAGTGTTTGGTATAAACAGAAAACAAAGGACTTTTTCATTGATCTGGGTGTATTCTTGGTCTTAGCAATTGGAAAAATAATTTTCTTTGTCTTTCATAAATATATTAATGCACATCTGTACCTTGGTTTATTTATTATGCACACGGCACAGTGTTCATGTAATGCATTGTTTTTTGTATAGCTAGTGTTTGGACTTTTTAGCTCGTGTGAAATAAACTAATTATTGTTAAGGGGAAAATGTTCTTTAAGTCCATCAATCTGGTGCAGTAAGATCTTCCTACATGCATGTAGTAAATAGCAATAATAAATTACATTAGCTATACTAAAATTTTTATATACTTTTATATACTTCATCATGTTCTAGTTAATCTTTTTAAAGTTTGACGAGAGATACATTTGATTTTTATATTGGTGGTTCAAATATCTATATCTAGGTATAGATATAAATCTATAGATCGATATAAACAGAGGCAGTTATTTTAAATTGTAGAGTACATGCTCACTAAGAAAATGGGATAAATAAAGTTTTTTCTCCTACAAGATTTAGGCTAGGACACTAATGATATGTTAAACTAATTGAACCAAATTCATTCCTTGTCTAAGTATTGAAGTCACTGGATTAATGTAAATTAGTGAATTACATCTGTTCTGAGTTTAATCTGGTCTGTATTTAAATCCTGACTCATGCTTAACCTTTAAATATATAAAGTTGTATAAGGTTGTTTTGGTCTGCTTTATTTTATCTCTCACACACACTCTCTCTCTCTCTTAGTCTCTTTCCGCACAAAATATTAATTTTGTTTTCCCTCCACCCCATTGATTAGCATTCGTACTTCATTACTCCTGATGTAACTGGATTGCCAACAATCCCAGAAAGTGTAAGTATGTTTGTTTGTTTTTAAATATCTAACCAGCAGTGTTAACCTTATTCGATGGGTGTGGCTGAATTCAATTAGTAATTATGGTCTATAGCTGGGCCTACAAAGTTAGAGCCATATACTGCTTTCCACAGCAGATCTCATACTGGTGTCAATCGGAGGTTTTTACAAAGAATGAGGGGAGAATACAGCCTTTGTCTAATTACAGAATCTTTAGTTAGTGAAAGAACTACTGCACTGAGCATCATCCAGTGATAAAAAATTATACAAGGTATTTTTATGACTACCATTTCTGTACATTGTTTGATCATTTGCACATTCAGTTACTCAATTTGTGTGTGCATTTATGGTAATTATGTATAGAAATCATGCCTGCCACTTATGCACCTGAGTTATTTGAATGTCTGGCCCCCCAGAATTGCATATTTAAGTTCCAGAATTAACATTCCATTGAGATGAATGGAAGCAATTTATTTTTCTGAGTGCTGTTGTTTCAAGCTACCTAAGACACACGGGTTCACATTTGGAAGGTCATCTTGACAGCTCTAATGGTTAAAAGATTTTTCTTAGTTTAAATGAAGGTTTGCATTATACAGAATTCAAATATGTGATGGAGGCCAGATAAATACATTAAGCAGGCTGCAAATGTAGTGTCTGTGATCTTCAAGTGTGTGCTTGACTACATGTTTAATAGCTAGCCATTGAAAGCGTAGCTTATTTAAATAGCCCACCTTCTTTAAATCTTGCATTTAAATGTGGGATCAAGGGCATTCATGCTATAGCTGGCCATTTGCTACAGTTTTGAAATTATGATATCTTCCCCTCCCGCCCAGAAAATTAAGTCTGCATGGTGGCATGAAGAAATTATGTGACGCACATAGCAGAATATTGATTAACTGAAGTATTTCAGATCTGTGCCTGTGGTTGATAGATGCTGTGGTTGTTGTGAAAGTGATGCTGTATACTTTTATACAGTTCACAGAAAGGAAAGGAAATGGAAGTAGAGGTGCCTGTCTCTACCATCTCTTTCCCACTGATTCCATTTGTAACTGTGTGTCCCATCCTTTCAGTCTGAGAAGAAGTAATAAGATGCTGTGATTTTACATGGGGAGTAAATAGATGGGGGCAAACAGTAGTAAATTAATAATAAACTGTAGTCCACTAATTCTTTGCTGTGAAGCTTAAAATATTGCAATGAACACTTACTTTTAAAATATAAATAAATCTGACATTTTTAGCAAAAATAAATAAATCTACATAGCAATGTAGAGTGCTTTACTGAAGTGAAGAGCTAGATGTACCTTTTGACTTTTCTGCAGCTTTAGCAACACAGAACCGCGATATAAATAAGATGCTATGCAGCTAGTCCTTCGTAATTTAGAATCAATCCAGTTATCATGGCACACATCTCTCAGATGGGATATTAACATGCTGTTCAAAGAGCCACGGTTCCTTTCTCCACACAACAATTTGGGTCCTAGCAGCCCCTACCTTCATCTCGTTCATCAGCTCTGAGCCCTGATGCCCCAGGGCCAGGGATTACTTTGTAGGCCTTCTCCTGGCATTTATGCAGTATGCCCCAATTTATGTGAAATTGGGCCCTACACAGTTGCATCCACATGCTTTGAAAATGTCAAGGCTTCACCTTGCAATTTTTACTCACTCTCCTTTCTCTACCCCATGCCCCAAAGTACAATCACAAGGGAGAAGGTGACCATTCTTACCCAAGCAAAATGTAAAACAAATATTTATTTATTTAAGGTTTATTTGTAGTATTAGCCCAGTTCTGGTGAACAGGAATTTCCCCTCTCTCTTTCCAGCCCGGTGCAGTCTGGAAGTAATCTTGTTCCTGCTACCCCTTAGAGGAGGTGATTGTGTTTGGCATCTTTGTCATATGAAGGGAGGTAATGGCAGAGGGACTCAGCATCTTCTCTAAACGCCCCAGGATATTGAGGGCACAGGACCTGTGGGCCAACCAGTAGAGCTGAGAGTAACATTAATCATCATGCCCCTGCTCTTTTTGGCATTGTGAGAACCTGGCAGGGTAGCACACTCTGATGTCATAGCTAGACCAAGGGACAAATTCTACAGGTGTGGAATTGCAGGAAACCTGGAGTAGGGAGGAAGGTTTGACCATACAGTTGGTTGGTGGTGATGGAATGTGAGATGGACTTCAGGAAGAAACTCTACCTGCACTCTGAGCCCCCTGGCTGGCCAGTGATAGCTGCTTTCCTGTTCAGTTTAGGACCTATGAAATTAAGACTCATCATCCCTGACCATGCAATCTGAGACTCCCCTTCTCCCCCCGTAATTAGTGAACCATGAGGTCAGACGCTGGGCCACACCATCCGTAGAGGCTGGAGAAACCTAACTGACAGCTGTGAGTCCCATTTGGGTTCCTTGTCCCCATCAACCATGGCGTACCCTAAACCGTGGGATTCAGCCCATTATGGAGTAAATGGTTACCCTGTATAGGTACTGCCAATGGGCAGCTGTCTAGTCAGATCCATTCTACCATTTCACATTAATAAAAATACTAGTAGCTGAAAGCACGTGCTGTTACAAAGGTGTAATACATAAAGTCATGCATATAAAAGCTGAAAATTTCTGAGAACGTCGACAGTGACAGACCACAAATCCCAGGTAGTGGTGGTGTGTGTGATTGTGTTGATTTTCATTTGGTGGGGGTGGGGTTGTGCTGGAGATTTGTGTTGTTTCGTGCAGCTGGCAGATCAGAAGTGTGTACTACAGTGAGGGGTTATATATATTTGTAGTTACTGTGTGCTGGTTCTGTTGTTGTGTGCGTTATTCTACAGAACAATGGCATCTGGGTCAAATAATCCACCATCTGTGTAGTCTCCTTCAGACAACCAAAGATATTGTTGTGTGCTTATTAGCTGTAGAGTAAGGCTAATGATTGGTTGAGTTACCACTGATATCACAATGGTCTAGGACAGAGGTTCTCAAACTTTTGTACTGGTGACCCCTTTCACATAGCAAGCCTCCGAGTGCAACCCTCCCCCCCTTATAAATTAAAAACACTTCTTAATCTATTTAACACTATTATAAATGTTGGAGGCAAAGCGGGGTTTGGGGTGGAGGTTGATAGCTCCCGACCCCCCATGTAATAACCTCATGACCGCCTGAGGTGTCCCGACACCCAGTTTGAGAACCCCTGGTCTAGGAATCTTGGCATAGTATACGTACATGTCTTACCAGCTGGATACCACATGGGAATAATTTGTCAAGTCAAAATGGCTGAGAACTTAAAAATTTGACAATAACAGACCAAGAATCCCAGTGATGAATGAACCTGGTGATATTCTGAACAAGAATTTGGTAGCTGTTTCCAGTGCTTCACACCGACTCAACAGACATTTTAGGCTTCAGAGTGACATATAGAGTGACATATCTGGAATCTTCTTATACGGATTAAACTTCTTGGTTTATGCATTAATGAGGAGGAATTTACTAACGAGACAAAGTGAGTGAGGTTATCTCTTTTACTGGGCCAACTTCTGTTGGTGAGAGAGACAAGCTTTCAAGCTTACAGAAATTGGTCTAATAAAAGATATTACCTCCCCCACCTTTTCTCTCTAATATCCTGGGACCAAGATGGCTACAACAACACTGCATACAACGAGGAATTTACTAGTTGAATTTATTAGGGTTGGTATTAAGTCTTTGTGAATGCTTTTGCATATATTTTACAAAGTAATGCATTTTAAAAAATTGTAATGTATAGTCACCTAGGGCCCATGATGCATTCATACTAAAAACCCAAAATATAAATAAAAATGAATAGCTGTTTTAAACAGAACTAGCACATATTATTCCAAAGTTTCCATGTTTCCAAATTTATTGAAAATACAAAGTTCCCCTCCACCTAGAAGGATAATTAAACATACAAAATGAAGAGATGATCTTAAAGTTAATTTTACTTTGTGTTTAAAATGGCAAGGAATTGTATGCATGCAGATATTTAATGAACAGACACGTTTCTCTGGCAGGATTGATTTTCATTTGTATTGTAAGAAATTTTATAAATAATGTAAAAATGTTCCAATCAATTACTGTTGTTAATATATGTTAACATTTTTATTTATTTATTTAAACAGAGAAATCTTACCGAATATTTTGTTGCTGTGGATGTGAACAACATGATGCAACTTTATGCCAGTATGTTGCATGAGAGACGAATCATTATTACCTCTAGCAAACTAAGCACTGTAAGTACTTCACACATCTCCTTTTAAGTAGAATATATTGAGCACTTCATAAAAAGACCTACAGATCTCTGCAGATTTAGATATGTTCCATGTGTACTTGTAAGACAATATCTACATACTTTTTTGATATATGGTTTTAATCTGGCTCTTGAAGTACCAAAGTCTGATTTATATAAGACCTACTCAGATACATTAAGTCAGGTTAATTATTTTTTCTTATCAGGAGATGAGAGTTCTTTAACTCTCCAGAGTTCATTTCTGTGCCTGCTCCCTATAAAGAATTCTTAAGGGCTATTATAAGATCTTTATTATTCACTTGTGGCTTATTCCATTGGAGCTACTTGAAGGAAATCAAGGGGCCATGATAATAGCTGCTATCCTAACCAGGTAATAGGTAGATTCATCTTTGTTGCAGAGTAGTGGTTTGGGGTATATACTGTAATAGCTCTGATTTGGAACAGCTCTTGTGGCTGATAATAATTTACAACTCAAAATAGCATTTTTATTACAGGTTTTAGGGTACTGCCCACATTGAACTGTTTTTCCTTATGTCAATGGGAAAATGAAAGAATGTCTATGTTTGGTTACAAAAACATATCTAAATATTCAGATATTCTTTTGTTTTAAACTTTGAGATTTTCTTATAGTTTGATGCAAGCTTGAGAGGTTAACTCAGGTTGCAAGTGACTATAATTTTACAAACCAATTTGTATCATAGTATATATTTGTCATTTAGTAGCTTTAATCTTTTGTTAAAACTCAATCACAGAAAATCCTTTTATTTCTTTTAAGTAGTGCTGTATAAAGCCTTTTGTCTGACACATTTTCCATAGTAGTAATTCAACATTACTAACTTTACTGAAGAGTAAACGAACAGTTTTGTTTGGGAGTAGGATTTAGATGCAATTTTAAAAACACAATTTGGAGCAACTTTTCAGAGGGATATAGATGTACTATTATGTTTCTAAAAACAAATTTCTATATTATGTAATATTTTTTGAGAACTCAGAGAATATATGGTATATAAAGAGTAATTTAAATTCCATTGAGCCAGAAATGTTGTGTGGGAAAAACCCTGTGTTGCCAAAGGATGCTAGTAAGTAGCAGCAGTTCCTACAATTAAAAAAGAAAAAGAAAACATCACAAGTCCCCAAATATACAATTTGTGTGGCTGCTGCATTGTGCAGAGTCCCACATGACTTTAGTGGGTCTTAATGCAAGCACATCAGTTCGCATGCCACAAGGTGCAGGAGCAGAGCCAAGCTAAATAACCCATAAATAGTTTGATCTTGAATGAGTGATGTGCAGCTTTTAGAAAGCAGTTGATGATGTAAGTACTGTAAGCTTGCAAAAAAAGATTCTTCTATTCAAATCCCAGTGCCTTTGACTTTTAAAAGCTAGATCTTCTCTGTTAAATTCAGACTAGGCTAGAATTACCCATTTCACTCATACAGTCCAATAGTTATTTCAGTTTATCTAAAATGCATCCATCAAGAGTAGTGCATGTACAAAACTTATCAATAAAAGATAAGCAATAAACAGTTTAAACTGATGTTCAAATGCAGAAGTCCTCCCAGCCTCCCCTACCCCAAACCAACATTTCACATCATCAGCTTCCCATCACTTCACGCATCCTTCCTCCCTGAAAAAGCCTAGGAGAATAGACGAGCATCACACCATGAACAACAAATTTGGACTTTGTCAAACCGTGAGGGAAGAGAATTCTAAAGTGATGGCTCCTTCACAGAAAACATCTTGATCCTCACCTTCTAGGCTGGCCAAACTCTGACCTATATTCTGAAGTCCAGAGGGGTTGGGCAATAGGTAGCATTAAGCCATCTTTGCAACTCACCAATCCAGCTGCATGCTTTGTCCCTGATAAGAGATATAATAGCCATAAGGGTCCAGTAAATAGCCCCAGTGCTGCTGTAGGAGAAGAGATGTGTAGGATGTGTGGTGTTCCTTATGCCCCTATAAGAATCCTGTATTAGTCAGTTAAGCCAGGTTTAAGTCTGCTTTGTCCTGGAAAGCTTAATGGGATGTATAATCGGACCTGTTTTTGCCTCTAGCTCCCTCCCGTTTAAGACCAGGGCTGTTAGCCTTAGTATCTCAGTTGATCTCAACGGCATAGTAAGACACTGTGACCAAGGAACCTCTTAGTGCCAACTGGCAAGGGGCACGTAGGAGCTACAGGAATCTCCTGAGTCTGATATGAACATTCTAGTTCACCAAAGAATGTCATGTGAGGTCTCAAATAAAAGCCAGTGTCACGTGCATCATCAGTATCATTGTGAAATGCATGTGCAAATGTTGTGCAAGAAATGTATGTGTGTATATATACAGAAAATATGTTCTTAATGTCTGTGTCTAGGAACTGGTCAGCAGCAGAGGTGAGAAACAGATTCTCTGTCAGACAACAGATGTATTTCCATCTATCTTTTTACATGTAAATTGAGTATGGTCTTGTTCACAGTGGGTCTCCTATCACCAGTCTGAACTGAATGCAAATGAAGGATTGTGAGCACTTCAGAAAGAAACTAACTGAGGTAGAGGGGGAGAGAACCTTATCTTGAGGTGCTCTTCAAAGGTTTGCTGTATTATATTTGGGGGGCAAAGAAAACACCCCTGTCGTCCTTCACTGAGAAACTAAATGTGCAATGAGTTTGCTTCATGACAAAGGGGTCTCAGCCAGAATTGGTTGAAAACACTGTAGGGAACTTTGGGTGAAATAAACTTCTTTAGACAGTAGGTTAACCTGTTACTTTGAATTTAGTTTCTAGAAAATGAATCATGATTTTGTTTTATATGTAATCATTTGTTTCTAATATTTTTACTCTCTATCACTTGGATCTCCGTTTTCTTATAATAAACTTATTCTTGTTTTCATTATAAATGTATTTAAGTGCTATGGTACTAAGTGATGATTCTGAGTTGAAACTTGCATGCTGGTGTACTATTCCTTGGGGAACTGCAGGCCTGATAATTTTGTGAGTGTTTAGTGGATGAACCCTCAGGGATTGGTGTATGCCCGTTTCTACCTGTACAGGGAGAACAAGGCCTGTGGGGGTCTGGAAGGGCTGGGCAGCTGTATTCTGAACTATCTGAAGTTTCTGATCAGTTTTAAGATGCAGCCCCATAAAAATTGCATTGCAATAATCCACTAGTGAAGTGACATAGATACTATGACAGGTTTCAGAGGAACAGCCGTGTTAGTCTGTATTCGCAAAAAGAAAAGGAGTACTTGTGGCACCTTAGAGACTAACCAATTTATTTGAGCATGAGCTTTCGTGAGCCACAGCTCACTTCATCAGATGTAGTGAGCTGTGGCTCACGAAAGCTCATGCTCAAATAAATTGGTTAGTCTCTAAGGTGCCACAAGTACTCCTTTTCTTTTATAGATACTATGGTGGAATCTTCACCAGAAAGAAAATGAAGTGATGCTGTAGCTCACGAAAGCTCATGCTCAAATAAATTGGTTAGTCTCTAAGGTGCCACAAGTACTCCTTTTCTTTTTGCAAATACAGACTAACACGGCTGTTACTCTGAAACCTGTCAGAAAGAAAATGTTGCAATCTCTCGACCAACTATAGGTGAAAAGATATTCATGTCCAGATAGTAATTGAGACCATCCCAAAACAGCTTAAGATACAATAAAATCCACAAGGTGTCAACCCGAATAACAGATCGCAGACAAATTCCCATGAATGATGGAGCTGATATCACTTCCTCAGTTTCTTCTGGTTATTTTTCCCAACCTACCAACAATATCAGAGTCTTAACTGGATTAAATTTTAGTCAGCTAGCCCATTTCCAAGGCATAGTACTGGCAAAGACAATGTTCCCTCTAAATTTTCTTTGTATTGAGTGGGCTATAAACTCCATTGAGTGTTACATTTTTGTCTTTGGGCAAGCTTACAATTTATTATTAAGGACAAAAAAAAAAAAAGAGAGAGAGAGAGAAATCCCTCACAGAACAATGTGAGAGTATATAAAATGGATTGCAACTGCTTTTTAGAAAGATTACATTCTAGTGTATAAGTGAGTATTTCAGGACTGTTTAAAGTATGGATTATGTAAATATGTAGTTAAGGACTTGAAAAAATGTGTACTACGATAGGGTATCATGTATATGTGTGTCCAGGAAGTTTTAAAGACATGTATTATTGTGGAGTAGTGTGCCAATAGTTGGACAGTCAGTTGGAATGCTTGAGACCACCTTTCACATCTAGTAGCAATGACACCCATGATTAAGTTATGAGCTGTTGCTAATAATAATTTTGTTCAGGATTCTTAAATTTAATCATTAAACTCAGGATCATAGATGAAACTAAAAATACCACATTTGGCATTTGTTGGTACTCTGGATAACTGTACTCACAAACAAAATTGATTTTTGCCATCTTCAAGCAGTAATTAATAATAATACAAGAAAGGAAAACAGTCTCATAACTGATATTTGAAAATTGGCTACTGTAATTGTTACCTAAGATATTTTAGGAACGTCTGTGTCACGTTCAGGAGCCTCAGCCCTCGAGAGAGCCATCTTACCATCTCCTCCTAGGAGCCCCTATCTCCCCCAACCCAACTCCTTATCCCTCCCTGTTGCGCTGAGAAGTGGGTGCTGAGATGCCCTGTCCTGCCAAGGGGGGGGGGGTAAGCCCATCTGCTACCTACATCCTATTTCTGCAAGTGCTGCTCATTGGGGGTAACTTTTTTTTCTTGCTGTCCCTCGCTGTCCTGGGATTTTCCCCTCTGCCACTCTCAGGCAGCACATCTCCCTCTTTCTTAACCGTGGCTCCTACCCTGTCCCTGATTTTACCTATCTGCCTCTCTCTTTTCTCTGCTTGCACCTGTTTGACTCCCCTGCACATACAATCTGACTTCCCTACATAAATTCAGGCCATCCCTCCCTTCCAATTTGCTCTCTCTGCACTCTGGTATCCCCCATTAATATCAGGGAGCCAATTTTAGTTCTGAGTGAGGGAAGAGTCAGCAGTGGC